GTCCTGGATTCCTTTCTTCCAGAGCCCTGTAACCGTCAAAAATCTGGATTGGTTGTTCCCTAGACCCGGTACACAGGTATTATACTGGGACCACCACCATACAGTATTACCTTTGCCTCTCTTTCTGGGCTGGCATCCTCCAGCAGTGATTGGGTCCATGGAGGCAAAAAAAAATTCTGAGATCTTACATGAATGAAAATACCTTCAGCCTGCTTTCACATTTAATGGATAATTTGGCTGAACTTAGAATTTTAGATTAGAAATAATTTTCCTTCAGAATTCTGAAAACATTGCTCAATTTTCTTGTGGCTTCTAGGGATAATTTAGCAGAAGCAGATGCCATTCTGATTCTTGGTCAATTGTATATAAAATGACTATGTTCTCTAATTTTAAGCCTCTCATCATCTGTAGTATTCATAAATTTCCTAACATGTTTTGGTGTCATTCTATTTTCATCCACTGTAGTGGGGCACTTAATGGGCCCTTTTGGTCTAGAAACTTATATCCTCTGTTAAAGGAAATTTCCTTTCATTATTTAATTTCATGATTTCCTCCTTCCTCTCTCTTTCTAAAATTCATGTTATTGGGGCGCCTGGGTGGCTCAGTCGTTAAGTGTCTGCCTTCAGCTCAGGTCATGATCCCAGGGTCCTGGGATAGAGCCTCGCATTGGGCTCCTTGCTCAGCGGGAAGCCCGCTTCTCCCTCTCCCACTCCTGCTTGTGTTCCCTCTCGCTGTGTCTCTGTCAAATAAATAAATAAAATCTTTAAAAAAAATAAATAAAATAAAATTCATGTTATCAAATACTGGATAGTCCCATTATCTATTTTTATATAGCAAGCCCAAAACCTAGCATCTTAAAACACTAACCATGTTATTTCCACGCAATTCTTCGAGTCAGAAATCTGAGGAGTGCTCAGTGGAGGGAGGTCTCCTCTCATCTCCATATAATATCAGCTAGAGTGGCTCACCTAAGGCCAGACTGTTCATGATGCCTTCACCACATGCCTAAAGCCTTGGTACCAGTTGCTGGCTGAGATAGCTAGGTTCTCCTTCTCATGGCCTCTTTCTCCTCACATATTCTCTCATTATTCAGTGGCCTACGCTGGGCCTCTTTACACAGTAGCTGGCTTCCAACAAGGAAAAAATGGAAGCTGCAAGACCCCATACAGGCTAGACTGGCAATTTACCAATCACTCTTGTCACAGTCTACTGATCATATCAAGTCAAAGGGCAAACCAAAGATTCACGGGGAGGAAAAACAGACTCCACCACTTGATAATGGATGGGGAGGAATGGGAGAAATTGCTGGCACCCATCTTTGCAGATAATCTACCATAGTCCACAATCTGGCTTCAGATTGCTCAAGTCTCCTAAGAATAGGAGACACTCATCCAATTACAGTATCAGCCTCAAAGACCAATATCTCATGATCTACCCTGGATCTGGATTTGTTCCTCAGGTGTGGATTCTCTTGATCTGCAAACCTGGCAGCTCAATGGGAGAAGAGGGCTTGAAGTAGAAACAAGGATGAGGCATCTCAACATTATCGTTACAGGCAGTCTTCCACTTAACCTACTTATAATCAATATTACTCCCAACTTCCCAATGTGCCTGATATCCTTCAGGTAAGACACCATCTCTTTTACCTTCTATATAGAATAAACCTCCAATATTCTGCTGGGGTGAGGGAGATACCGTCATCCTACTATTCAGAGTTGAGGGCAAGTGGGGAGAATTTGGGATGACTAACATATAATCCCTACCTTTATCCTCACTTCCAGAAACAACTGCTTGCAATTTTTTATCCTCTGGGGAGTTCTGTGGAACAAACTGGATTGCTTTACAGTTTTGCCCACTCTCTGAGTTTAGGATTCAGCTCACTCACTCAAATGTCACCACTGGTCTACTTTCCAACTTCCAAAAATTTGTCTTTAACTCTTAACCTATCTCTTTTTCCTTAAGTCCTATTTTTCAATCCTTTTATATCATTTTAGTTGAGTTTAGGAAAGAGGAAAGTAAATGTATGTGCTCCAACTGTCACCTTTAACAAAAATCATTTTTATAGGCTATCATTACAAACTTCAATACCAGAGCTAGTGCTATTATAAATTACTTAAGATATAAACCATAAATCACTTTCATAAAAGTGCATAAAAACCCCAAAACTGAGACCAAAGTAGTCAAAAACAAAATTTCCTGATATATGAACATGGATACTTTTAAGTCTAGTTATAATTAAGACCTATCATTTCATCTCAACCAAATGAGTCACACTCATAAATAATCTGAGAGTAATGCTTTAAACAAAACCATGATATACTTTAATACCATGATTCCTTTAAAATATTTTTTGCAATAATGATTTAACACATTTTTCTCAGACTCTTTCACAATATATAAAAACTAAACTTGGTTCTGCATTCTCTTACCTTTTCCTAGAAGAAAGAAGTCACAACTACTCTCAATTTTCTAATACTACTAGTCTATATAGAGAAACCAAGGGCAATATACTGGGTAGGAGTAGGAGTATTATTTGAATAAGTAAACATGACTTACTGAGACCAAAATGGAAAAGAGTTATCAGTAATGTAAAGGTGGCAATGCATTTGTTATGTCCAATAAAACATTTCTTTCTGAGCCAAGAAGCTCTAAAGGGATCTTTCATCGAAGAAAAACAGAAAGCAGTACTCTCAAGTTGCTCCTTAATTCATTACACAAATTCACTGTAATAATTCTAAAATCCAGGGCTCTACAGATGTATAAAAAATTCACTTGGGGGGTGAGGGCAGCCCCCAGTGCAAGTGTGGCCCCTGGGGCCCAGTAGCCTCCCGACTGTTGTGAAGAGCCACAGGCTGCAGTGACAGATGGAGTGGGAGGGCCTGGCGGAGTCCTCGGAGCCAGCCACCAGGGCACGGACCGACTGTACCTACCTCACCAAGGGGCCCAGCTCAAGGTGTCCACTGCCCTGTCCTCTGACCCATGGGCCCGGAGCAAAAGCACAGTCTGGAGACTGCCCACTGGCTCTTCTCTCTCTCCTCCCCTCAGCCTCTCTGCACTACCCCAGGCTAAAGGCAACTGAGCCAAGGCTCCAAGAGCAACGGTTTGATCTCCCACTCCAAGTGATGAATTCATCTTAGTTTTGGATAGGCTTTCCTTACGGTTTGTACTTCAAGACTGAGGACACTTAAAAGAAAGAAAATGCATAGCTCACCTACTGCCAGCTTGACAGCATAAGTTTTAGGAATCAAGAAGGAACACTGGGTTATTTCCTAAGACTAAGCCTTTAAATTCCAGTTGGATGCTGCAAAGCCATGTGCACACTTGAACATGAAAATGATCTTCCATCAAGGAGTTCTCCTTCTTCAACTAAATTAACTGAAGTGGCTGGAAGAAGAATGGACCGCCTATCTGACCAAACTCAGCCAGACAAATTAAATCAGTCTTTTTGGGCAAGGAGTAAAGCTGTTACAAGGGTGGCCTAATCACTTTCTCCTCACACCACCACTGAGCAGCCCCTTCCAGGACTGTCACCTATATGTAGGTGATGCCCTATACAAGGGCACCTGGCTAAGACAGCAAATGAGGACTGAAATCCTGCCAGGCTTCACGCACAAAGCCAAGTTTATTGGTGTATGGCTGTGTCTACTCAGACGAAATGGTATGGGCTAGAGGCACCCTGTATGGGCTAGAGGTAGTTCTGACCATCCTACTACCATATCCCTGTCCTACCCAGGATTATATTCCTTACCTCAGGTGGACTGAAGATTCTCATAAACAGATTAGGCTTATTATAAAAGACGAAATGTTTGAAACAAATTGAAATTAATTCCATAGGTAAACTCAAAATATTACTATAGATGTGAATTATGCTTGTGTGTATTTTTATATATATACATATACAGTTATGTGGATACACATTTCTATATAAGAAGTTAGCACAACTTAAACTTAGTAAATGTTTAAAATAAAAATCACTCTGGATTTCTATATAAAAATACTTTATGAAGGAAAAGAATTTTTTTTTACGTTAGACAATCAGTTCAGTTTTGGCTTTTCATATTCTAAGTTCAGACAATTTTGAGTTAAGAGAGAAGATAATGTCTATGTTCCAAAAGAGATTCTGGTTAGATCTGATATGTTCTCATTTTCATTACTTCTCTTCTGTTTAATAAGAATCTCACTCCCTACTCTCTGGTTGCTCCCTCATGGTACCCATCCTCCCTGTTGTATCAACATTTATCTTCCCAAATCAAGGCTGATACTACCCAATCTCTTCTTAAAACTCCCTCCTATGACATATGCTTCTCCATTGTATACTCTAGGTTTTATATGATAAAGTACAAACACCACTGTTGTCAAACTCCATGAAAGAAATTCTTATGGGATAACCAGACCCTCAGAATAATAGTCCTATTTATTTATGCCCTGTAATTATTTTCATGGTATAGAAAACAAATGTGTAAGCAAAGATAAACTGAGTATCATTTTAGTACCAAAATAATATTCAAATATTAACGAAGTGGTGACATGCTACTTAAAAGTATAGTCAATTTTTTTCTACTTTAAGTCAAAAGAGTTATAAAAGATCTTATAAGTGGATTGACAAAAGAATGATTCTCTTAAAGTTTACATAGGGCAAACCTGAGATTAGAATGTGCATCTGCATAAGCTTTCATACAGTTTTAAGATTATTTTATTAAGATTATCTTAAGGCAAATTAATATCACATAAATGATGCAAAAAGATAAATATGTAATGCCGTTAGCATCAGTTTCAAGTAAAATATATAAAACCCCATATGCTTCTACCTCTCTACTATATAAAAAGATTGATTCAAAGTCACTTGCCATTTTTGGGGCACCTGGGTGGCTCAGTTAAGTGTCAGACTCTCGATTTCAGCTCAGGGTTGTGAGATCAAGCCTGCTTCAGGCTCCACGCTGGGCATGGAGTCTGCTTAAGATTCTCTCCCCCTCCATGAAAAAAAAAAAAAAGTCACTTGCCATTTTTGCGAGAAGTCTTCTGCACTGTCATTGGTGGGCACGACTGAGCAGGAGCTACATCTGAAGCAGCAGGAGAGCCTGTATGATGAGCCTTTACTTTGTCAGCCCAACTGACACCTGTAGGAGCCAGACGGGGAGTAGCCACTGTGCCTGGTGAACCCCTATGGAGAAAATTCTGCATTAATAAATCAAATATAAAAGTTAAAATTTTTAAAATTTAAATATATACTTAATATTATTCTGGGTCTCTATTTCTGATTTTTCTTTGTTATTTCCTTCCTCTACTAAATTTCAGCGAGGATCTTCTTTTTCTAGTTCCTTGTGGTATAATTTATTTATTTCAACTATTTTTCTTAATACAAGCATTTATAGCATAAATTTCACTCTAACATCTGCTTTTGCTACATCCCATATGTTGTAGAACATTGTGTTTTCTTTTTCTTTTGAGACATATTTTGATTTACCACTTGATTTCTTATTTGGCCCACTGCTTGTGCAGCAGTGTGTTGTTTAATATTTACATATTAAATATTTAATATTTACATTGTAAAAAATAAAAAATTTGAAAAAAATTAAAAATGAAAAAATAAATACCATGAAATATTATGCAGCCAATAAGAAGAAATGGACTATGCATGATAACAAAAAAAAAGAACTTGGAATACTTCCAAATAAAAAAGCAGTGTAACATTTTATTCCCCACTCATTTGGTTATATGTCACTTTTCTATCACTGTTATTTACATCATGTTTATTTAAATGAAATTTAATTAACACAGTTCAAAATCCTTTAACTTTCAAAATAAAAGTTAAAATTTTTTTTTGCTTAATATATTTAAATTTTAAATAAATTGGGTGTATATATCCACATATATAGAATACCATACAACCAGAGCAATTTAAGTCAAATATATTCATAAATTTATGTTGGTCTAATACTTCATTAATCTAATATAGTATAACATATTATATGGGAACAGGGATAATATAAAAGCTCTCATTCAGTTTAAAAGAAAATTTCCGTTAAATGGGGGAACCTTAAAAAATATACATATATACCTTGAACATTTTATTTCAATTTAAAAACTATCTTTTAATAATATAAATGTGCATTATTTGTCAATCTATTGACACAGACACTACCAAAACAGGCTTTTTCTTTGTGTACATTTCTTACATGAACCATGACCACAAGTATAATACCTCACTGGCAATATCCAATTTTGGTTTCTTTAAAATGAAGTGAGAATTTAGTGACACCTATTCAACATTCCAAGGGTATAATCCTCCTCAACTTTAACAATATTTTTCCCAATCTTTTGACAGCAAACTTTAATAGTTCACCTTTATCAAAGCTTTCTAACAACTTGTCTAAGTTTTCACAGAAACAATGACTCTTTTTGTACTCATATTTAACCGGTTTCTTTAATATTTAAATTATGAGTTAAATAATGAAGACAAAGCAAGTTTGGTGACTACATATTCTGATAAACATTTAACTCAACCAGTAAGAGAAAAGTGAGTAGATATATTAAAAAGTAGCCTATGAACCACAATTTTCAGCACACTGAAAAAAAGTAGGTTTTACAATGATAATAAAGAATGCCATTTAGTCCAACAATATGATTAGATGGAGATCAGTACAAGAACTTTTACCATACATGCATTAAAGGCTTCCAATGTTAAAAGAAAACATGCATTATACAACATTCTGAACCACAGACCAATGGACTACATTATATAAGTACATCCCTTAAAATGGTGCTTGAATATACAATTACTTGGTTTTGTTTGCTTATATACTTTTCTCCTATTCCACTGGTTCTACTCAGTAACCTTAATGAGCTTTTACTAAGCGCCAGGTACAATGTTAGGTGCTTGGGATACAGAAGATATGACAAGGATATTGCGTTAAAGAAGATTATAGTATGAGTACAAAAAAGAAACATTAAAAAGGTTATAATACATCGCAAATATAATAATAATACAAATAGATGCAAGATTCAGTAGTAACAAGAGATGAAGATGACTGTGACGTCGTTGGGGAGGGGATAAAAAGCAGTCAAGAAAGGTTAGGTTTTTGTTTTTGTTTTTTAAGATTTTATTTATTTGACAGAGAGAGAGAGAGAGCACAAGCAGGGGGAGGGGCAAAGGGAGAGGGAGAAGCAGGCTCCCCACCGAGCAAGGAGCCCGACGTGGAGCTTGATCCCAGGACCCTGGGATCATGACCTGAGCCGAAGGCAGATGCTCAACCGACTGAGCCACCCAGGCACCCCAAGAAAGGTTAGGTTTTAACACAGGAAAGAGAAATGACCAAGTAAACTACTTACCACCCCTCCAATTACACATCCAATATTAAGACTCACTCTGAAGAATTAAGAGTCCAAACAAAACTATGTCTTAAAGACAAATTTCCCCAGGGACATTTAAGGAAAACAACAGTGATGACTGTTTAACATTATAGCTGCCAGAGGTGACAGTAACATTTGGGGCAAACGAGGGGCTGACTAAAAAACTTTAAAGGAAAATGTGGAGAATGGAATGGCCACAGGGAGCTTTGAAAAACTCCTACATGTTCCTGGAAATCAAGAAGGCCACATGTATGTACAGGGTTCTGTGCATGCCCCAGAAACATCTGAGAAGGCCCTAACACCTCACTTCTGACTGACCTTGAGGCTCTGAGGGAACAGGAAATGAATGTTGGAGCACTGAAGGTATGTACAACACATACACAGGACTAGGAAACTTCTGTCAAATCAAGCAGAAACTTTAGTGACTACAGATGACAAAGAAAAAAGACTTGAGAAAACTAGTTCAAGAGAGTTTTTGAACAGTAACAATATCACTACCACCAAACCCACAAGAACAAATCCTGAAGAGGTAGCAATCTGATCTCCAAAGCTCCCACATTATTTAAAATATCCAGTTTCAACAAAAAAAGTCACAAGACATGCAAATAAAACAGGAAGGTATGACCCATTCATACACACATAAAAGAACAGTAACTGAAACTGTCCTCAAGGAAACCCAGACGCTGGGCTTACAAGACAGACTAAATCGGGTACTATAATTATCTTCAAAGAATACTGAAGAACAAAAGAAAATTGTGTCTAAAAAACTAAAGTATGCAAACAATGTTTCACCAACTATAGTATCATTAAAGAGAAGGTAAATATAAAAAAGTACTACATAGATATTCTGAGTTGAAAAATACAGTAACTGCAATGAAAAATTCACCAGAGATGCTCAACAGCAGATTTGAGCTAACAAAATAAAGAATCAGCAAACTTGAAGAGAGGACAATTGAGATTATCTGAAAAACAGAATGAAAAAAGAATGCAGAAAAACAGACCCTCAAAGACCTGTGGAACACCGCCCCAAGTACCAACATAGGTATAGGGAGATTCCCAGGAAAGAAAAAGGCGCAAAAAGGATATTTGCAGAAATGGACAAAAACGTCCCAAATTTGATGAAAAACATTCACCTATACATCCAAAAGTTTCAACGACTCTAAATAGGATAAACTCAGAGATCCACACCTAGATACATCACAAACTATCCAAAGACAAAGATAAAATCATGAAAGAAGCAAGAGAAAAGTGAAGCATCTTAAAATGGATCCCTACTAAGAGTAACAGTTGCTTTCTCATCAGAAACCATGGGAGTCAGAAGGAAGTGAGAGAGGGTGCCTGGGTGGCACAGTCAGTTAAGCACCCAACCCTTGATTTCAGCTCAGGCCATGATCTCAGGGTCGTGAGACTGAGCCCCAAGTCGGGCTCTGCAGTCTGATTGAGATTCTCTCTCCTTCTGCCCCTCCTGCTCATTCTCTCTCTCTCAAATAAATAAGTCTTTAAAAAAAAAAAAGAAATCTTAAAAAATTTAAAATTAAAACAAAAAAAAGAAATTTTAAAAAATTAAGAAGGAAGTGAGAGGACCTATTCAAAGTCCTGAAACAAAAAGACTTTCAACCAAGAATTCTATGCACTACACAAAACTATCCTTCCAAAACTGAAGGACAAATTAAGATATTCTCAGAAAAACAAAAACCAAGAAAAACTGTCAGTAGCAGACCTGCCAACAAGACATACTAAAGGGAGTCCTTCAGGCTGAAATGAGAGGACACTACACAATAACTTGAATCCACATGAAGATATAAAGAACACTAGTAAAAGCAACTACATAGGTAAATACAAAAAAATATATAAATGTATTTTTTGTTTATAACTTTTTTCTATCTGATTTAAAATATAACTGCATAAAACAATAATTATAAAAACTGCAATGATAGGATTACAATGCATAAAGATATAATTTTCAGGACACTAACACCGCTTATGAAATATATTTAGATCTTTCGTTGTGAAAGCAATTGCCAATTCATGTTATGAGTCATTTAGCATGACATATGTTTATGGGTTTTAATTTTGGATCCTAATTATATTTGAATATATTACATTTCCTAAAAGCTCAATTTTACCCTCTTGGATTTTTTTTTATTCAAACAATTTCAAACACATACACAAACATATACAGGGATTTTTTTTATAGTGGAATATCAGTTTTATAATACTATATTATCCACAGAAAATAATTTATTGCAATGCAAGCCTTAGTTTTTTTGAGTTCATCTCACCCAAAATTTAAGCTTCTTCGAGCATTTGATGTTACACTTATTCTATCTGTCGATGGACTTGGAATCACATGACGTCCTGGAGACATCTTCTTTACTTCCCAAGCCAAAGAAGTTGGTCTGTCAATTTAAGACATGCAAGAGATTAAATTAACAGAGAAAAAAGAAAAAAAACTACTATTTTTTCTTGGTTGTTAGGGGGTGAAAACATAATCAGGTCACAAATTTTCCTTAGAGCACTGTTCACCAGAAAGTTACCATATTACCCAATAAGCAACACAGATAATGCATGGTCCAGGATTTTCCACCCACTGTAGCATAGCAACATAACCCTACATATCTAAAAAGGCCATGGGTTTACAAAGACATGAGATATACTACTTATGTTTTAAAAGCCTCCACATACCCAGCTAAAAACACATTAAGAAGGCAATTGTACCAAATCAGTCTACTTATACAACTCAATTTGTATCTGATGTCCTGGAAAAATCAAGGGTGTAGAACAGAGATCAAGACAGAAAAACAGTTGTGAGGTTAAATGAAGAATACACAGGAAAATATGAAGTCTCCTTTCCTCTACATGAGAGTGGGAGCATAAACCTTCCTTGCTCTTTGCTGGGAAAGCTAACTTCTTCACTAGCCCCAGAACCTTGAAAGGATGCACAATCTTTACTAAACCGTTTTCCTGGGACACCTGGGTGGCTCAGTCCCACATCTGGCTCCTTGCTCAGTGGGGAGCCTGCTTCTCCCTCTACTGCTGTTCCCCCTGCTTGTGCGCTCTCTCTCTCTCTCTTTCTCTGACAAATAAAATCCTAAAAAAAATAAAACATAAATTGTTTTTCTCAAGCAGCATTTTCTGTATTCCTAATGGCCTCATTACGAACCTCTATAACTCCCCAGAATCTCCTTCCCTCTTACCTTCCATTCAATCTAGTGGTTGTGATTTTTTTCTCACATTAAAAAGTGATATTTGTTGGGGCACCTGCGTGGTTCAGTCGGTTAAGTACCTGACTCATGATTTCAGGTCATGATCTCAGGGCTGTGAAATCAAGCCCTGCATCGGGCTCCACACTGGGCAATGAGCCTGCCTGAGATTTTCTCTCCCCATCTCTTTGCCCCTCCCCAACCTCTTTCTCTCCCTCTCAAAAAAAAAAAAGTCGTATTTGTTGTCAGAAAACAGGAAAATGCAGATAAAAGATTATCCAAATTAAATCTAAAGCTTTTGACAATTTGTCAAATCACCTTTCAGAAAGCTTCTAACAAATCATACTTCTACTAGATGAAAAGTGCCCATTTCCGTTGAACCTTGCCAACAGTTAGGATCTTGTTTTAGAAATTTCAATGGCTTGTGAAAGAGATGGCATTGCTTGCAAAGTCTAAGAACATTACTACCTGGCACTTTATAGGAAAAGTTTGCTGACTCCTATGCTAGAGTTTCAGTCTTGTGAGGAGTTTTCTTTTTCTTTCTTCTTTTTTTTTTAAGATTTATTTATTTAGTTATTTCGGGGGGAGCACACGAGCGGTGGGAGAGGTAGAGGGGGAGGGAGAGGGAGAATCTCTCAAATCATGAGTTCTTTTCTTGCAGAAATTTCAATAACAGTGTGTTTTTAAATTCATTAGCAAAAATTTTTTTGTTTTTAAAAATATATTTTTATTATCATTACTAGTGAGGCTGAACTTTTTTTACCAGCCATTTAAATTTCTTCTTTGGGGGGGGGGCAGTGCTTAGGTGGCTCAGTCAGTTAAGTATCTGACTCTTGATTTTGGCTGTCATACTCTCAGGGTCCTGAGATCAAGCCCTGTGACAGCTCCACACTCAGTGGGGAGTCTGCTTCTCTCCCTCTCCTTCTGCCCTGCCCCCTGCTTGCGCTCAATCTCTCTCTCAAATAAATCTTTAAAAAAGATATAAAATAGGGGCACCTAGGTGGCTCAGTCGTTAAGTGTCTGCCTTCGGCTCAGGTCATGATCCCAACGTCCTGGGATCGAGCCCCGCGTTGGGCTCCTTGCTCTGCGGGAAGCCTGCTTCTCCCTCTCCTGCTCCCCCTGCTTGTGTTCCCTCTCTCACTGTGTCTCTCTTTGTTAAATAAATAAATAAATAAATAAATAATCTTTAAAAAAATAAAAATGTATAAAATAAAAAATAAATTTCTTCTTTGGTATTTGCATGTTGGTAACTTTTGCCATTTTTTTCCACTGGGATTTTCATCATTTTCTAATGGATTTGAAATCATTTACTACTACTACTATTATTACTATTATGGCTACATAACCTTTGGCACAGATAACTACTTAAACTTTAATTTTTCATGCAGAAAGGCATATTTTATTCCTATTAAATCAAGCCTATTAATACTTCCCTTTGTGGTTTCTGCCTTTGTCTTACAAAGTCCTTACCCACAATAAAAATATATAAATATTTTTACATATTTTATTATATATATATTTATTTATATGTATAAATAAATATTCTATATTTTCTTCTCTATGTACAACTGCAGTTTTTACATTTAAATCTCAAATGAATTTTGATGCATGATTTGAAGAAAGTAAGATAGGTAATGCCATCTACAGGGAATTTAAGGTTGCTTTCTATATCTGGGAGCTGCCTCAAGAAGCAAAGAGCAGATATGCTGATAACTGCTTAAGATAAAAAGAGATAAAAAGAGAAGTCTCAGGTGTGGTACCTGGACATGGTACCAGGACAGAGTTAACTAACTTGGACTTGGCCTCAGAATCTTTTTTTTTTTTTTTGACTTCATAATGCTGTATTTTATTGGTTTAACTTCTTAATAAAAACCTAGGACATGTTAAGTACTTGCAAAAATGCCAACATTACACACACACCAACCAAACTCTTATGAGAATATATATTTTTTTTCTGATTGGTAGAATATATACATGAAGTTTCTAGATATTAAACAATAGAGGACCAGTTTACTGTTGCAGTTCCTCAGATATAACTCTTTTTTTTAAATAAATTTTTATTGTTATGCTAATCACCATACATTACATCATTAGTTTTGATGTAGTGTTCCATGATTCATTGTTTGTGCATAACACCCAGTGCTCCACGCAGAATGTGCCCTCTTTAATACCCATCACC